ATCTCTGAAGTAATTTTTAACAACTATTTTAATTTCTCTTCCAATTTTTGACCAATATATTTTACACTTCAAATAGAAACATACGCTGAAAAAAATACTAGATATTGTTTCGAGTGTACTAGAGTACCAAATTCTCAGAGAATGTACTAGATCTAGTACAATTGTACTAGACTGGCAACACTGAATACAGTTGACAGCATTTATAACATATTGTAAAGACCTCCGAGCAATTACTAGTAGAGGGAAGCGAGCGTGAAACGAGTTTTTAGACGATTGTTGTGTTCGCAACATCTGTAGAGGAAGTGAGGAAGCGGGCACAAGCGGGGAAGGTAAACATCCTTCTTGTTCAGTGGCGTATCATTTCTCTGTAAGAACACACATTGTCCAAACTTTTTAATTGTAAAAAAACTAAAAACTTGCTAATTTTACTATTTTTAAAATGTATACCATCTTATATGTGTCTGATGCAGGAAATGAAACAAACTCACTGTAAAGGTCTAATTTTTTCAATTAAAGAATAAAACCTTAAAATCAATTTTATTATAAATAAATACAGGAGCGACTAGTTTCGACCTCACAGGGACATCTTCAGGCCTGTAATACAATAATCCTTAATTATTATAATAGATTGGTCACTTACGATTAAAATTAAATAGTATAAACCACAAAAATGGATCCATATTGTAGCATTACAAATCTACAAAAGAAGAGGTGAGAATGAGCAATTTAAATTGCCCGGGATAACAAATAAGGCTGATAATGTACAGTAGTGGTATAGTCCCCATCAAAAAAGGTCCGGATATGTGAAAGAGGACGGCGTTTTCTCTGTAAATCTGGAGAATTCAAGGATGGAGGGAAGATGAATCTCGCTGGCGCAGGTGTAAATGTCTACAAAAAGAAGCGTGTAGATAAAAGCTCCAGTAAATATCGTCACTTTCTTCTAATTTTTTATTCTCAATCACCGTTTCGGCTTCATCTTCGAAATTCATTTTCAAAAGGAAATAAAAGTAATCATTCATACAAGCATATAATAAAACAACATGAATTCATTATATTTAATAAGCTAATAAACGTTTATTTCAATGAAAAAACATATATGTGAATATAAAAAAATAGAAATAGATAAGATTAATATCAAAATCAATTTCAAAATACAACAGAGATAAAATAAAATAAATTAATACAAGTACAAATAGAAAGTTAATAACATATCTTCTAAAAGTAATACATTTTAAGTAGATAAATGTTTAAATAGTTGATTCCTGAACATAACTAATCTGACGTTTTCCCTCTTTTTAATATTATGAGGGTTTTTGTAGTTAAAATGAAAATTATAATTTATTTTGGTCCTAATACAAATTTAAACATAGGTTATTAAAGAGTAAAGTACATAATAGAACTTCATAATCTTAAAACGTTATCAAAAATTATTAATGGTAAAACTTCATACAATAATTAGATTCTTAAACAAAAAACTTGCCTCTCCAAAACGATGATTTGTGAACTTCTTTCGTGTCTAACATTAATTTCGTTTTCAGTATTCTCTGATTGGGGTGTCTTTTATTTCATTCAATCTTGTTATTCTGTCGATTTTAATAATACCCTTTATTCTTTTAGATAAATCGATACGACATTGTAATTTTTATTGAAAGAAATGCTACAATACCAAAACAGATTTTAAATAATATTTTTTATGCCAGAATAGTATTCATTGTTAAACTAAATATATGTAAAGTATTTATTTGCATGTATCTTAAGAATAACTTATGTGTTCTCAAACAAATTGGGGTGGATGACGGAATACCCCAATTTAAAAATTATAAACAAATTTTGAAATATTTGGGAAAGTTAATGGTGGGCTATACTAAAATGCCTCCTCATATTTACAGGTAAGCGATTTTTGCGAATTTTCTATTTTTAAACTTTTTATTAAAAAACAATTCATTTAATATTTGAATCGTTTATTTGAGAAACAACCTAAGTCACTTTTTAGGAAAGTTCAGGAGGTGAAAAAAACGTTTTGAACTAAGACCGGTACTAAGGTTGCTTCAGAAAATTTTAAATTGTCGTATAACTAAGGATGTTTACGGTAGTTAGGTTTTTCTGCAATATATGTGGATTCCTCTGAAACTACAATGTTAATGTGATAAATCAAATATGGCCAACAAGTGACTTAGGTTGTTTTTGAAATAAACGATTCATTTGTATTATTAATAATTAAAGAAAAATGAGAAAAAGTCACAGAAACATCGAAGGATCGTTTTCTTCCGGAAAGCAACTACAACTTTGGCTAATACCACAACAGGTATATAACTTTGATTTTGCTTACTAAGGAGAACGTTATTCTTACACCAATTTCGTCCTTACTAGGACTTATCAGCAAGCAATATATATATATTGTGAAGAAATGCAATATAGAAAAAGTAAAACAAGACTATAAATAAATATTAAAAAAATAAAATATCAAATGAGAGTAAACAATTTAATCTAATGATATTCATTAATAATGAACAACCCTGTATGACTCTAAAATATTTAAAGTAATTTTTACAGTTAGACTTAAAATACTACAACTGACAATCGAGCAAACAAATTAATCTAATGATATTCATTAATAATGAACAACCCTGTATGATTCTAAAATATTTGAAGTAATTTTTAGTCAGACTTAAAATACTACAACTGACAATCGAGCAAACAAATTAATCTAATGATATTTATTAATAATGAACAACCCTATAGTATCTCAGAATATGTTAATACATTTTGACATGTAATTTTTAAGTTGCTATGTTTAAAAAACCAATATTTAATAAAAACTTTGAACTCCCATTTCCCCACCTTAAAATGTGAAAATCCTTAACACTTAAACAATTCATTACCTATTTATTTATGATGTGTAGCTATAATTCCAATTTTTAAATTCCTACCCTTAAAATATCGATACTAGCATACAAACTTTCATCCCCTGTTCCCACTTGTTTCCCGCCTTAAAATATGAAAATTCAAAAACGCTACCTAACAAAAATTTATTTTTCCATACTAGCGTTCACTTCCCCGTTTCCTCCCCTTTAAATGTGAACATCCTAAAACCCTAAAACATGTTATTATTTATTTACGCTCGTAGCTGTATTTCAAACTTTTATGTGTCTAACTTCAAACAACAAAGAGATACAAAGCTTGCTCCCCATTTCCCTCCATTAGAATTAAAATTTTTGAAAATTCTTTTTTTCATACGTTATAAAAAAAACCTATCTTATAAATTTTAGCTTCCTAGACCTAGAAGTTTTGGCGGTAAGATTGATGGGTCAGTCAGTCAATCAGAACAAATAATTTTATATATTTAGACTATTCTTATGGTTGGTTTCGAAATAAATTGGTCTTTAATACAAAGCCTTCCTGAATTATAAAAAATATTGGCAACACTGTTGGACGTAAATTAATATATGTTAAATGAAACAAAAATATTCTTCTGGACGTAAAATAGTAATATACGGATGCAAGATAGAAATTAATATAAAAGGAGTCAAAATGGTCGGAAAATAAAAAAAAAACGTATATAATTTTTTAACGATATGGTAATAAAAAACATATTTTGAGACAATTAATTTTTAGTAGTTTCAATATACTTGATGAAATCTATTCTAAACACACTGTTTCCAGAGACGCAAAATGTATGGGTTATGAAAGGACGCAATATTACTGCAGGATGTAAAAACTCACCAAATCGCGGGATATAAAAAGGAGGGTAGTACTGACTGACTAGTTGAGAAAAAATAGAAATATCTTGAGGATGCAGTCAAAGATAAGGAGGGCTTTTTAGTAAATCAAATGCACTCTTTTTTGTTTGTTAAGCTTTCGGAAAATGTTTATTTCCTTCATCAAAACATCTACAATGAATACAAAAATCGTTGTTAAAAATTAGTTACAATAGAAATATCTTGGGATGCAGTCAAAGAAAAGGGGGGCTTTTTATTAAATAAAATGCACTCTTTTTTGTTTGTTAAGCTTTTGTAAAATGTTTATTTTCTTCATCAGAACATCTACAATGAATACAAAAATCGTTGTTAAAAATTAGTTACAAAAACTAATTTACTCACCAAACTGAGATTAAAAATCTCAGTTTGGGGCTAAATTGGAGGGTCTGTCTTCACATGTTGAATTTCGTATAAAACTTTTAATGCGCTTTAAAGCTGAAAAATCTTCGCTCAACTGACGCACTTTTGGCTGGGATGGTTAGTACTAATTCACACAACTTGACAACTTCACAAAGGGACTTACTTAAACCAGTTGTTATAAGAAAATTTAACACATTGATAGGCGTCTTTTTATCACTAATTTCAGTTGTTTCATAAATAACACTTAACTGGGACTTGCTGGAATATCGAAAAAATTGCCATAATTTCATTTTAGTGAATTAAAAGCTTCCGATGGAAATTTTGATGATTCGCAGTTACTAATATTAAAATTGCACAATTCAACAAATTTTAATTCGTTTAAGTTTAGAAATCGAGAGTTCATTTGTTGTAAAATATCAAAAATTTCGGCGTTTAATCGACGATAGGAGGTCTCTCTGTCGCCAACATTATCCATTCTAATTCTCTTTCTTTCAGGTTCTAAAGCCAATGTTTTAAGTCTTATTCCAAAAGTGTTCAAACTGATCTCGTTTTTTATTCATTTTAGTTTTAAAATCATCAATTTGTTTAATGCAAAAGCCAATGTCATTTGACTTTGTAAAATGTCGAATAAAATGTCAGTAAAAGGGTACATCTCTGCAAAAATTTTGAGCAAAAATACAAAATCAAAGTTTTGTTCGAGCCAATGCAAATACCCTTTAGCAGCAGTAACAGTTTTGAGCATCCCATGTTTCTTTATTATCCCAAACGTCTTAAAAAAAGTGTATCAAAGAATCACGGTATTGAAACAGTTTGCACTAAACGTCCATTGTAGTTGCATTGCGTCAGAGTAACTTTTGGAAACCTTTGTTGAACGTGAATGTTCTAAGCGCGAGTTCTTTTCGATGACTTTGAAAAAAAGGAAGCCAAACTACTAAGACTCGAGAAGAAAACTTTGCAATTTTGAATATTATCCATGCTTAGCGATAAAACCAAATTAAGTCTATGTGCTATACAGTGAACGAAAACTGCATGTTTAAACTTCTCTTTTACTTTAGCTTGAAGGCCTCCTAAATGGCCAGCCATTACGGCACCACCATCGTAGCTCTGGGCAACAAGCTTAGAACCATATTCTAAACTTGAAATAATGTCACAAATAATTTTAAACAATGCATCTGCAGTTTGTTCGCTTGTGACGTCCAAAAATCCTAAGAATTGCTCTTGAGGAATGCCATCCAATACATATCGCACAACAATGGATAATTGACTTAAGTTTGCTACATCTGCGGTTTCATCAAGCGCAATTGATGCTTTTCTAATTTCACTTTTAATGTGATCCATCACAACATCGGCAGTGCATTTAATTAAATCTTTTTGGATTCTGTTTGAGGTACCTCGGAAAGTCGTGGAATTAATAAAATGATTTTTTAGGGTATCATCGTATTTTGCTAAAAAAACTTAGAAGGTCCATGTAATTTCCTCGATTGGCGGATCCACTTGTTTCATTGTGACCCCTAAAACTTAGTTCATGCTTTCCCAGGAAACAAGTTACATTTATTAATCGTTGTAAGACGTCCCTATTTTTTTTTTTACTCTTTCATGTGAATTTTGTTGATTATTTTTAAACCATTGTCCAAACTATGTTCAATGCGATAGGTGTCGAATGTTTTTTGTTTAATTGTAGCACTTATATGAGATTTGCTATTTACATGTCGTTTTACACTTTTGTGAAAATTATTCAAGTCTGTAATACCGACTGAGTTCCAATGTTCCAATATTAAAAAGTAGGCAAGGCCAGCAAAACGATTTCTTCAAAGTTTTGCAGCCGGTTTCATACTTTTCATAGAACCCTACGTGAAAATGCCTGGTAAATTTTTTTGCTGACTTTTCTATTTTCGTCTCTAAATTGATAGGATCCTTTAGTCTACTAGAATTAATAATGTCTCTTTTCTCTTCAAAATTTCTACTTGAAAATTCTTTTTTCAATAAAGAGCATACAATACAGACAGAATTTACCACATTATTATTGTTTACAGACAGTGCATAGTTCCTCTATTTTATAAAAAGAAAAACAACTACGAAAAACAAACCGAAATCTATCTGAAGTCTACGATTTTCCTCACACATCGATTCGCGGTGCGAATTGCAATATGCGTAAGGCGACGTAAAAATCGCTGCCTCTCGACCGTATTTCACGTGTCCAAACAGACTGACTATTGTCGCGTAAAAGCAGGGTCAAGAACACGAAGCGAAATCAATTGGAAGATGAGCCGGCCCTTTCAAGACGCGCTTCTGTCTACGGACTTGAAGTATATGATGTGTGCGTTTACACAATTAATTTTCTCATGGGTAGTGCGTGCGTTTACACATTACACCAATAAATTGTTAGTACATTTACGTAATGTTTCAGAGAAAATATAGTACCTAATTTAATATTAATTTCTATGCATTGTAAACTGAAAAATATTTATTTTTAAATTTCATAGTGTAGGGAAGCGGTGCTTCCCCCGCTTCCATGGACCGCACGCCTCTGAACATAAATAATTTATGAGAATACCTTTTTAAAAAATGGTTTTTAAAACGAGTTTTTTCGTGGTATAATAAACATTGGATAAAAAAACTCCTAGTCAAGCTGTTTTATAATATTTGTTCTAAATTTGTGCTCAATGTTCAATATAAACTTAACAGTCTATAAATAACATCTTAGTACGAACCATTGCATTTTAAAACTGGCGCCAATATGTAAAATAGATTTAACCTTGATGGCAGCCAAGATCGGATGTGGCGCGAGACACTCGTCGCCAAGGTGCCTAACCAGCTGTGTCTTCTACTGACACGGTTAGGAAACCAACTGTAGATTAAGGTCCGTATTTATAAACAGAACTTACAGAACTTACCTGAGTCGGACTTGGGTAAGTCGTCCTTGAACTAAAATTGAAGTTCGGTTACAACGTCTCTAACACAAAGCACGTATCTTATAGAGACCCCACGCCAATGTTAAACTTTTAAACCAAATTAGCGCCACCTTGTGCTTGGAGCTGGAACTAAAATGACAATTGACAGATGGCGGTAAATTCAAATTGTAATTTTTAGGAGTAGGTAGTAGTTTTAAATTAAATTTTAAATGATTTCCACATAAATTATTTTATAAAATAAATAATGGAACTAGTAAGTTCGAAACTTTTATTTTACAAAATAATTTAGGTCGATTATACCAAATTTGAGGAATTAATTTGTTATAAGCAGGGGTATGATGTGGAGAGTTGGTTCTGCATATTATTATTAAATAAATATAAGATATATCAATAAATATTATTAGATAAAAATAAATACAAATAATAATACAAATAATAATACATATTTAACGAATACTTACTTGCAGCAAATAGGTATACAATCTCAAATCTTTAAAATACCTATCAATAATTTAAATGTGAAGTAGAGACTAGGATATTACATTTTATTAACATTTTATTAACATTAAGGAAATAGAAAAGCAAAAAATCACAATTTTGCAAATAACAGACGAAACTATAAACAGAAACCAAAAGCCAAAGCCAACAAAAAATCACTAAAATCAGACGGAAAAATGAGATTAACCAAGAACATAAATAAATACACGTCACATCTTTGGAGTCTTTGGTTAAGTTTTTCTCCCATAAAGCTTAAAAATGGAGTATGGAGGGTAGAAAAAAGGAGGACAATCTTATATGGATCTTTATATTAAAAAGTGGCCACCAAAATGTATACAATTAAGATGGCGTTCGTGTAGCCAGGGGACAAAATCCAATGCTATATAGTCATATAGATTGCTCATTCATAAGAATTATTTATTGTTTATATTATTATTTTTCAATAAAATTTGACTATTGTCGTGTATTGTCAAAATTTATCTACGATCAGAGAACACTTACTCTTCTACGACCAGTCACTTTTCACGGTGTAGTTTTTAGTTTTTTATGGTTGAGCAATATTTATTACTATATACATCATTGGTGTCATTGTGTGATCTGAATTATCGACTGTCGACGTCCCCTGAGCACAGAAGCGCCATCTTAATTGTATACATTTTGAGGGATACTTTTTGTATACAGAGATTGTTCTCCTTTCCTCTACCCTCCATAAAATGGAGTAAGAAATCAGAATTTTACCAGTAGCCCCATCTAGAGTTTGGAGCAAATAGCATAAAAAATGTCAGTTGTCGGTTTTGACCTTGGTCATTCACGTGGAACCTCTATGTGCTTTGTGGTCTCTAACGTTCCAGGTGGTTCCGGTGTTACACTGGAATTTAGAGATGGATATTAGCAAATCTGTAACTGTTATGTACATTCACGGATATGTTACTACTCATCTCTAAATTTATGCGATATAACCGAACTTCGATTTTAATTCGACGACTTACCCAATTCCGACTCAGCTGAGTTCTGTTTATAAATACGGACCTAAAAAAACAGCTAGTTTAGCACTCACTTACTAATGTGTGGCAGATGTTACAGTCGACAGTCGGTGTTTTTTCTTATTTGGACCCAGTACATATTTGTAATTACTCATCCATTTTTAGCCAAGATGGTGTTCAAGGAATTGAAATTCATTTATTGAAATCCATTTGTAAAATATATAATTTTACATATCAGCTTGTTTCATTTGATGATAAAGAATATAATAAAAGCGTTATACGCACTATGCTTGATAATGTAAGTACAATTATTAACATTTTGTTAGAATAGGAACAAACTTTATACCGGATGATGTTGAGAGTTGATAAGAAAAAGCAGAGTAATCTTTTGGGAGAAAACCTTTTAGGGTGTTTACCGGGCATTTTCGGTCTCACCATCTCTTCTGTAGAACACCTATTTACAGACTTGAAATTCGAAAAATTAGTTCTCTATCTTTTCTATTTTTATTAAACTGTATAGAATTTGAAGTTCATATCATTTCAAAAATTCATCACATTCTCAAACTCTGTCAAAGTTTATTCAGGTCTATAAATTTTAATTAACATTTTTGCAACTGGCTATTAATCGTAAATCGACTGATTTCAGGATTTTTTCTAGAAGTGAACACGTTACGATATATAGTAAGTATAAGTGAGCAATCGCCCGGATTAAGATAGAACACATAAAAATAACATGACAAGTTTTTATACGTTTTTTTTCTAAGACTTCCCCTTATCGGAGATATGATCCCATAATGGACACCACTTAAAATCTTTTTTTTTTAAATAATTTTCAAAATCCTTGGTATTCTTTAATAATTTTTGAATACGATGGATACTAGATAGGTCTCCGTAAAATTGACTATTTTAAACACATTTGGCTTATTTAGTTTACCAAGGACGGACTATCTTTAACACAATACCCAGGTAGCACACATTAGTATAACTAACGTATTTTATACTCGTTTAATTTTGGTATTGGTTGAATCCGTATACGTTTACAGTTTACGATTATTATACATACCGTGTTTTAAACGATATATTATACGTTTATTATATACATCCTATGGTATATAATTGTAAATTATTCTACGTTTAAATATAGTTAACAATATACCACTATTTTTAGTTTGCGATGAACTATTTATATACAGTGGGCCTAAATATACGTTTAGGTTTATTTAAATTAAATTCGTATAAATTTACATTATATTACAATATGTTTTCTTCGTTTATAATTCCCGTTTAAATTTCGTTTTGGTTGATTTTTCAAACGTTTACATCTACCATTTTTATACTTAACGTTTTTTAACAGATAAATTAAACGCTTTTGTTTGTCGATACGAGTTAATATACCTATATTATTCTACGTTTAAATATAAGTCACATTAAACGCATAATACCAGTTTACGATGAACTAGTAGACAGAAGTAAATAATATGTATATATTTAGGTTTATTTAAATTAAAAGCTTATAGATATATTTATTTACATTACATCCATATTTTAATTATATTACCTGTAATATTTATAACAAATTCCCCATACACATGGAACTATTTTTAGATGGCGGATAGAGGATGACGTACTAGTGGTACGGTCTTTTCTCATTTCTAATCATGCGTATGTGTAGTATTATTGTTCATGTTCAGTGTAGGGAATGGTTTGTGGGAGCAGGTTCATCGGTTCGTCTATTTTCATTTGTGTACACGTTTTGTTGCTTTGGCGTCCTGGGCTTTTACGATATTGATTAAAAGCATAGGAAAGTTTCTATTAATGTTTTAATTTAGCTACTCCTTTAATAATTGTTGCATTTTACAACAACTAGTTTTATAGGTACGTACAGTGTGTTAAATGCTTATAGAAACTTCAAAACATAACCTTACTTTTGTTTCTTTTATTTTTATACGTATTTTTTAGGTTACCTAGTTATTCCAAGCATACTTATTTTCCTTTTTTTTTGTTTTTTATTCAATAAAATGTCTAAAATAACCCTGTTTCTGCGTCATCTACGTAGAAAAATAGCGCAAAATGTTCAAGATGCTTTAAAGTCAAATCAATTTTTTTATTCCCAATAAAGATACCATTAATAAGGCTTCGGACATTAATATATCATCTGATTCTATTATTTATAATAATTTCCAAGAAAATAATACAAATTTAACTTCGGAGCTTTTAGAAAATATTTCACCTGAAATTAAGTTATATTTTGGTTATAGGAATGGGGGTGAACCAAGCGACTTAACCGACCGAACGATTAGGTGTGCCATGCAAGATTAGCTTAAGTTAGCTAAGGCCCGTCTAGGACACAACACATCCAAAGTTTTAAGCTAAGATTTTAATTTTCATATATATTTTTTGTTAGTTAAAGAAAAGTTTCGTTTAGTTTGTTAATTAGTAATTTAGTGTTTATTTTTTTGTATTTATTTATTTTTTAGTATTTTAATGTTTATTTTTTTTAATTAAATATTGTTCTGTACATATAACAAGTGATCAAAATATTTTTCTAAATATTTAGGCAAATTACAACCAAAATAGAAACACGAGTAATGTCTATTTCTGGTGTATACACACCTGCTATGGATAAAATCCAAACTATCATTTAAGAAATATTAACATTTTTCCATGGCCTCTTTTAGAAATTTTGTTTTGATCACTTTATTTAATTTGTGTTTGAAATACATTTAAAACAATATCAGGTAGACGCATTTTACACATTAATAAAAATCATACAAATATATCTAATATAGACGTATTCGCTCCGTGCGAAGTCATGGAAAGGGAAGCAAAAGCGATACTAGCGCTAGCTGCGGATAATTCGTGCATTTTAGGGGGATATTTTGTAATTTTGGCATATCAAATACACGTATACATTTTACTTTTTTTCAAAAAAAGTAGGTAAAAACAATACAATAAGCAACCGGAGTTACTGTGTTGAAAATTGTACAAATATTAGCAAAAAAAAACAGTGAAACTTATATAAAAAATTTCAGTAGCAAAGTGGAAATTAAATCAAAGAAATGAATGGATAGATATACAATAAGAAGGAAAATTACCTTTATTTTTGTAATAATAACCGTAATGCTGCAAATAGTAGACATCAGAAACTTGAAAGGTTTTAAATCAACAATAGATTATCATTTTACCATGTTCTTTAATATCCCTTATTCTTAAATGTTCATTCAGCAAGGACTAAATTTCAAGATTTCTGCCTTTGATTATTATATGTGGTTGGAACGCAATTTTGTAACTTACTGATAGGAAATCAGTTTTAATCATTCATTCTATGTTTTCTTTCGAACAAAAATGAATATATAAGTATTGATCCTTTTTTATACATTTTAACTTCACGCTATTATTAAATGGTATTTTTGTATTTTGACAGAATAGACTAATTCTTCAATGAAAACTTATTAGACTTAGGCAACTTCTCATACATTTTCCAGTAAATACTGTTGCCTGCCTATATTTTATTATGGATTTTTATCAATTATACATCATTTTCTTTAATTTAAGCGATAAAAATATATAATAATAATAAATTAATGTTTTACTTGTTTTACAAATCCATATACTTTTATTAAAACTAACATGTATACTTTTTAATTACGAATTCTATTAAAAGTTGCATTTGTCAGTATACGCCGAAATCCTCCATTAGTATCAAAACGAATTGGCGCTGCTGTCGCGCACGGAGCGAATAGTAAAACAGGATAATTAAAGGTAAATAAAGTAGTAATGTTAGACGTATAAAAAATAAAAAAATATACGTTTATAGGGCGGACATTTTTACGTATATATTGGGTAGCATATCAACAGTATCCATACGTATATTATAGTACATAAAAAAACGTATTTTGTACCAAAGTAAATTCGTATAAATATACTACAACTATAAATATAATATAGACGTATAGTAAAAACGTTTAATTATAGGTGAATAAATTCTTAGTAATCGACGTTTATAAGGCGGACATTTTCACGAATATATTTGGTAGTACATCAACCGTATTCATACGTATGGTAGTACCTAAAAAAATACGTAATTTATACCAAAGTGTGCTACCTGAGTAATGCTAAAAAAGGTACTCCTGATCGATATCGATAAAATGACTTGTTGTCGTTTAAAATGCGCAGTTTTTTGCATTAGTTGTATTTTTTGTTGTATGGTTTTTTGACGGTTTTTATTTTATCATTTTATATGTCGGTTCAATATTAGCACCTTCTAATCGTATTATTCCCTAGTTGTTAGTATTGAAGATTGTTGGACTCTCAATTTCCCAACATTTCGCAACAATGGAAGTTAATCGTTTCTAATAAGTTTTCTCTATTGTCAGGAGGATTAACATAGACTAAATTTTTTAAATATCCTCACAAAAAATCTAAGGGATTCAGGTCTGGTGATCGAAGAAGTCAAGGCATTGGTCTTCCTCTCCCTATTCATCGATATTCCTCTTTAAGTATTCTCCAACTACTGGACTAAAATGTGGTGGGGCCCCATCGTGCATGAACCACATATCACGTCGTATTGCCAAAGGTAAATCATCTAAAAGTTCTTAAAAATTGTTTTGAAGAAATTCCAAATAAAATTCTCTAGTTAACCTTCTTGGCAATACAAATGGCCCAATTAAATAATATTCGATGATTCCGGCCCACATGTTGATGGGAGTGTATGATGCCTTGTTTAGAAAATTCAGCTTCGTCCGTAAACAGAACTGAACCCAAAAAATGTGCATCGTTTCTGTGGCGATCTAAAACCGAGTTAGAATATTCGATTCTTCTGGCAACGTCTTCGGGAAGAAGTGCACGGACTTTCTAAAAGTTAAATGGATGCAATTGTTGCATCGTTTCTGTGGCGATCTAAAACCCAGTTAGAATATTCGATTCTTCGCAAAACGTCTTCGGGAAGAAGCGCATGGACTTTCTGAAGGTGTGAAATGGATGCAATTGTTGCTCTCTAAGGATTCTAGAGACAGTAGATTTTGGACAATCAAATAGAAAATAATCCAGAGGCGAAAATCCGGTGACCTTGTAGGCTATTCAATTGGGCCTCTTCTACCAATCCAGAGTACCGGTTATTTAAACATTCTCTTACAGCACCAACATAGTGCGGAGGTGCTCCATCTTGCTGGAAATGAAACTGATCAACATCATGATTTGGGCCATTTTCTAATATTTCTGTTATAGGAGGGTCAATTTCATCTTCAAGCATGTTTAGGTACACTTCATCAGTTACATTTCCAGGAATAAAAAGTGGTC